TATATATATATATATATATATATATATATATATATATATATATATATATATACAAATACATATAAATATGTAAAAAAATACGTTTATACATTTAAAATACATAAAATATATAAAACTAAAAAAATACTTAAATATGTAAAAAGATATATATATATATATATATATATATATATATATATATATATATATATATATATATATATAATACGTAAAAAATATATTTATATATTATATACAAATTATGGGAAATATGCAGAACATTCTCATTATTTTGGAAAAATTAACGATTTGGTTCTATGACCTGATGAACAGGTCAAAAAACACTCAAATGAAGAAATTAGTCGGTTTCTTGAGTTTTTCAAATTTTTTTTTTTTTTTGGGAGGGGGGGGTGTGGGAATTAATCATTAATGTTCTTAAAATAATGTGACTTGTCTGAAAATTTCTCTATATAAAAATTACATTTCATCCATCGTGTAGCAAATGCAGCCTAACAAAACAATTGAGAAAACTTACTAATCAAATTGATGTCTTATAATGAATTTTAAATACAATCGTCTTGAAGGAAAGAAAATTTTACTAATATTGAAGTAATTATCTTATAATGAATGGCTATTTGTGGAATTTCGATCGATGTGATATGGGTTAGGTATCCATTAGTAGTTAAAATGTGTTTTTACACATTTTACACCAAATTGTAATAGGCCTCTTTAATTTTTTTTTTTTTTTTTTTTTTTTTTTTTTTTTTTTTTTTTTTTTCTGATCTTCTGACAACTATCTAAAATAGACAAAAAAAAAATTCTTGATAACTAACTTTCGAACTTCGAAATTAAACAAGTAGCTTTCGGATTGCGATGGAGGTAAATCCCCAAAAGTGGATTATTAAAAGTTTATATACTTCTTTCATCCCAAATTAATTGTCCATTTTTTACTTTTGAAATTTTTTTTTTTTAATTTTGACCTTAAATATTTTTATTTGTGTTATATATTACTTGATGAAACTTATAATAATGAAAAGACATTTAAAATACAATCCATTAATATATTTTGCATCAAGTATTATCTATCAAAAACAAAAATATTTAAGGTCAAAGTTGAAGAAAAAGACTTCAAAAATCAAATGTGGACAATTAATTTGGGACGGGGGTAGTATATAAAATGAGCATTAGTTTTTTTTAACATGACATTAGTTTTAAAAGAATACTTATAAGAGAAATTAAATATTCTCATGCCTTTTATTCCTATTTATCATCCTACCCATGTAAAATAGTGACATGTATCATATTTTGATGAAATTAATAACATTTTAAGACGTTTGTCATTATTTCACATATGTATGAAGATAAATAAAAACAAAAGTAGTAGGATATTTAATTTTTCTACTTATAAGGAGCTAAAAAATTACAAATAATCACAACATAAACCAGCGTCTTTCAACCATCCAACCTAATCATTTGAATCCTATTGGAGACCTAAGTAAAAGATTGTGAGACTAAAAAATCGAAAACATTATATTCATTATGAACGCCTATAAAGTCCAAATATAAATAAGAACGATGTTATAAGGAGCCTTCATTTTTCTACTGCGAAACTTAGTATTGTCTACCCAATTAAATCACTTATTGTGAAACTGAAACTAAGTATTGTCTACCCAATTAAGTCACTCTTTGATCAATGATAAATAAAAGGGGTTCGAATGTCCCGCCACCTCGCAATACTCTTCCATAAAGGAATGACAATCTCATAACCTAAAAATAATACAAGGATGTTTTAAAAAGATAATTTTCATATACTATATGATGTAGGGGTGCCACTTTATTATCATTTTAGGTTATTCAACTTGATGTTACTAATATATATATATATATATATATATATATATATATCTATATTATATATATATATATATATTATATATATCAAGTAAGAAGCAGGGTGCTGAGGTGGAGCTGCGGTACTACGGTGACGTATAGAACAACATTTCAGCTAGGATTGTCCTACTGTAGGAGACCTCGCTGTGGTGACTAGCCTGTTGTCCATGCTCTCATCTCATGTTGTCTATTTCCTTGTTCCCCTTGCATATTGTGTATTAGGACTTGTACACTACTCTTAAAAGATGGAAGAAGGGTATAACATGGTTTTATAGATGAAAGAATGGGGTGATTTGACACCAAAATGACATAAATATTGAGAAATGAGTATAACATATATCCTAATTAGGGATGAGAATTTGGCCCGAAAACCCGAATCGAACCGAGAACCGAACCGAACCGAACCAAATTATACCCGAATAACCAATTCGATTCGGTTTTCAGGTATCTATATAAGGCTTATTCGGGTTTCGGGTTATTCGGTGCGGGTTACCCGAATAAGGGCTTATTCGGTCCAAAAGGACCGAACCGAATATGAAAAGTCACATTTTTCCCCCTTGCACAATTGCTTAATCGGTCTTGTATTCTATCGACCGTTACCCAAAATACCCACGTAATACACCAAAAAAATCAACGAAATCGATTGAGAGTAGCGTATTACACCAAATCGACGACATTACCCTATTGTATCTCGTATGGTAAAAGGTATAACTTTATTATTTGTATACTTTTTTTTTTATAATTATATTTTAACATTTTCTATGTTTATGTTGATAGATATTTTGGGACTGCAATCTCTACTGTGGCGTCAGAGGCGGTGTTTAGTACAAGCGGGCGTATATTGGATCCATATCGAACAAATTTGTCTGCAAATATAGTAGAGGCTTTGGTTTGCACTCAATATTGGGTAAGGAAATCAAGAAAGCCAATTGTGGACAACATTGATGAATTTTGAAAGACGATGGGGTCGTGAAAGCTTTAGAAGAGGCGATAAAGAACGGAGATGGAAAGGGAAAACAAGCAATTAATATTCCCGAATAGTTAATTCGTGTTTGAAAAATATTATTTTGGATATGGATAAAAACTTAAGATTCATATTTTAATTTGGGTGTGGAATGTTTAATGTTTAACTTATATACTTATAGATAGATTTTTTGGTGTTTTGGATGTTTAATGTTTAGTGTTTAATATGTTGCTTAATAACTATATCTTAAGATTGTGGTGGTTGGATTTTACATTTTATATATTAAGAATAGTTAATCCGTGTTATTCGTGTTTATCATAAGCTACAAAAATCATACAAAATACAATATTTATAATCACATTGTAAATGTTATTTGAGTTATTTGGGTTATTCGGCTCCTTAATCATCTTGTACATGTTATTTGGGTTATTCGGGCCGGAACCGAACCAAACCGAATAATACCCGAACCGAACCGAACCCGTATTGCTTATTTGGTTCGGTTTTCGGTTCATACAATTACCCTTATTCGGTTTTCGGTTTATTCGGGTTCGGATCGGTTCGGTTCGGTTCGGTTCCGACCCGAATAACATTCCTAATCCTAATAACAATGAAATATAACTTTAACAACAAAAGTAATTAGTAAAATTTAGATAATTGGTTGATATACTAGTCAATTAAACTTACTTCAATCTTGTTTAAAAAATAAAAAATATAAAAAAGTAAACCTAGTACAAAATTACAAAGTCAGGACAAATAAAGGAGCAGTTTTACAACAATGTAGTTTCTTAAGGTTCTGATTGCTAAAGTTATAGTAGTAATTCCTAAAGGTGCATCGTTCAACTCCCCGTTAGTTTTCCGTGTGGAACGTTTGATTCTACCTGTCTTATTGAGATGAGGTCAAAATAGAAACGGGAATAAAGCAAATATGCTTCAATATTTGGCATTTTGTAGTCCATAAATCCAATAGTGACCAATTTGTTTTTTTATTTATTTTTTAAGTGACAAGTGACAACTCAAAAAATATGTTTACCTTATAAGTTATAACCAATTGCTCACCGTATGAAAAAAGTTGAACATGAAAGGGATAAAAATAAATAAATAAATAAATAAGAGCAATATCGTTTTTTGATTAATAGTTATAAAAAATATTATTTTATAAATAAATAAACTGATTATATTTTTTTATAGTAATATAAAATGATCACCAATTCTATAAACCTTCAAAATTAATCCTGAAACCCCTTAAAAATAATAAGATTTTGCTTTAAATCTATTGCCAAATTGTTCTTGTAAATTATAAATTGTTATTACAATTTTGAAATAAGAATATTTTTTAAGTTTTAAGTTTTTTTTTTAAATTTTCTTTTATAATAAAAGCAATTTCGCAATTCACAATCTTACTGTATACAAAATTGATGCTATTTTGTATAATTGTGCTATTTGTTAAAAGATATTAGTTTATTAATTTGCTAACTATCCTTTTTAAATTTACCTTATTAGTTTGATAAAAATTTCACTTTAAAATGTAATATTATAAAAAAGTTATATATTGTGTTTGGATTATATTTCAATCTTTTTCTTTTAGACCTTGTATTAATTTAACTTTTTTGAGAGTTTTTTTTTTTTTCAGAAAAATTGTCAAATATGAGATGTTTTTCAAAAAATAAATAAACAATTAAAAAAAATCGAGAAAAATGAAAGAAATACAAAGTCCTTTTTAAAGAAAAAAGGTTAATATTTTACATGAAAAAAAACTCTATATATAAGATCTTTTGTAACATCAATCGTAACAAAACTACATTTTGATAAAAGTTATATGTCAAATTTATATAAAACAAAAATCATTCAACTCTTGTGGTTTCTTGGTAATTTTTGTAATAATATATTTAAAAAAAAATTATGAATATGTAATTCTTAAATATTGAAAATACATTTTTTGAACATTAAAGTCAAAAATAAAAATAAAAAAACTATATTGGGGGGTTGATGGTAATGGCGATATTGTGGTGCTGGCTTGGGTTGGTGGAGGGAATAAATGCTGAACTGGTACACACCCTCACTGAAAACAACTTGTACTTGTTAATTCTCATGCCTTTAATTTTAATTAATTTTCATTTCCTTTATTTTTGTAATAATTTACTTCAATTTAATTAATAAATCTCATTTCCATCTTCATTAATTAATCTAAAGAATCAGAAGATGACCAGAGCATGTGAAAGGCAACCATCTTTTTATAGGAAGCAAACAAGATCACCACCATTTTAGTATATGCTTTAAAGTTTTAAAGATCGTCACCATCGCCGCCACCGCATCACCACCGTGGACCACCACTATCCCTTTCCACCATTAACAACTCACACCAATCTCCCTCCACATTCCCTCTCCTTCAAGATAAAATCTAGGGTTCTTGAATACCCAATTCAATTTCTGCAAAATTGAACCACAAGCTACTAATTCATCACTTGATTCTTTGTTTTTTGACCCACCCACAACCCGAACCTAATTCTTAACGTTCGTCGGAAATGCCATTTCCCCAAATTTGAATCCAAGTCAAAAATGGTTACACAGAGTAGCAGTGTAGTAGCAGTAATCGACAGTTGTTCCGGTATTTGAATCAATGAGAGGTTTATTTCAACAATGTTGCTACTTCACCGCCAGTTTTCTCTTGCTAATTGCATTCATGTCGCCGGCGGCTGTCGATCAGGTGGCTGCAGCGGCGTCGGAGAAGGTGATCCTGCTTCAGTTCAAAGGTAACATAACAAACGATCCTTACAATAGTTTGATTTCATGGGATTCTAGTACAGATCAATGTAGAGATTATAGCGGTGTGTTTTGTGATTCTTTTGGGAATGTATATAAGATTGTGTTATGGAACACTAGCTTGGTCGGTGTGTTGTCGCCCGCATTATCGGAGTTGAAATCGTTAAGGATTCTCACCCTCTTCGGAAACGGATTCACCGGAATCATACCACCGGAGTTTCAAGAGCTCACCACTTTATGGAAGATCAATGTCAGCTCCAACGCTTTATCTGGTTCAATCCCTGAATTTTTAGGGGACTTGCCTAACATTCGGTTTCTCGATTTGTCCAAGAATGGCTTCCAAGGAGAGATTCCATCGTCTTTGTTTAAACTCTGTGAAAAAACAAAGTTCATTTCACTCTCCCATAACAATCTCTCCGGTACAATTCCGATCATCATCAACAACTGCTTGAATCTCGAAGGATTCGATGTATCATTCAACAGCTTGACTGGCGAATTCCCTTCACAAATTTGTGAAATCCCACCTCTAGCTTACTTGTCTGTAAGAAACAACATGTTGACTGGAAGAATTGAAGATCAAGTCTCAAATTGTCAAACGTTAGAACTTCTAGATCTTGGCAGTAATCTTTTCACCGGGAATGCCCCTTTCAGTGCTCTAGAATTCGCAAATCTGAGTTACTTCAATGTTTCAAATAACGAATTCGAAGGACAGATTCAACCGATACAAACTTGTAGTGAAAAACTAGAAGTTTTTGATGTTGCTGGAAATGGTTTTCAAGGGGAGATCCCTATGAGCATTGTTTCACAATGCAGTGGGTTGAAGGTTTTAAACATGGCGTACAACAGATTAAACGGTCAAATCCCGGTGGAGATTTCAAATCTAAAAAGAATTTCAGTCATCAAATTGGGGAATAATTCAATAACTGGTGAAATCCCAGAAGAATTCGGCTCCATTGAACTTCTACAAGTTCTCGATCTTCATAACCTCGATCTCAACGGCGGAATCCCGGATTCCTTGAGCAGTTGCAGGTTTCTTCTAGAACTGTAAGTCCACTTACACCTTACGCTTTCTTCTTCACCTCAACAATTTTCAAACCCTAATTTCGTTACATTTACAGAGACGTTTCAGGAAATTCTTTACAGGGACGACTCCCGGAATCATTTTACAACATGTCCAACCTTAGAATCCTCGATCTTCACAAAAACGATCTCAACGGATCCATACCTTCAACCCTAGGAAACCTCTCCAAAATCCAGACATTAGATCTATCCCAAAATTCATTATCCGGGTCAATTCCCTCTACTTTATCAAATCTATCAAACTTGAGTCACTTCAACGTCTCCTACAACAACCTATCGGGTCAAATCCCTGCATTTTCACTCCAAAATTTCAATTCCTCAGTGTTTTCAAACAATCCAGGGCTCTGTGGGCCCCCATTGGATCAATCTTGTACAAGAGATTCAAAAAATTCTGAATCAAAAAGACCAAAACTAAGCGTTTCCACCATTGTTGCCATTGTTGCTGCTTCCTTGATCTTGATCGGAGTTATTATAATAATCATCTTGAACATGAAAGCCCGAAGAAGAAGAGGAAGAGAAGATGAAACAATGATCATAGAAAGCACACCATTAGCTTCATCAGATTCCAATTTAATAATCGGAAAATTAGTTCTATTCAGCAAAACTTTACCATCAAAATATGAAGATTGGGAAGCAGGAACCAAAGCTTTACTCGATAAAAACTGCTTAATCGGTTCCGGAACAATCGGAACCGTTTATCGAGCCGATTTCGACGGTGGGATTTCAATCGCGGTAAAAAAGATCAAATCTTTAGGAAGAATCAAGAGCCAAGATGAATTTGAACAAGAAATCGGACGGCTAGGATCGCTTCGACACCCAAATCTCGTGTCTTTCCAAGGATACTATTGGTCATCCACCATGCAATTAATCTTATCCGATTTCGCCCCAAACGGGAACCTCTACGACAACCTCCACGGAATCGGAATCAGTGATTCCGGGACCAGCTCCGGAATCGGAAACCCGGAATTGAATTGGCCACGGAGGTTTAACATCGCGTTAGGAGTAGCAAGGGCGTTGTCGTACATTCACCACGACTGTAAACCTCAAATCCTTCACCTCAATTTAAAATCCCACAACATTTTGTTAGATCAAAATTACGACCCGAAACTTGCGGATTACGGGTTAGTCAAGTTTTTACCGTTGCTCGATAATTACGGTTTGACCGGGTTTCACAATGTGGTGGGGTATGTGGCGCCGGAATTGGCTCAAAGTATGAGATTGAGTGATAAATGTGATGTTTATAGTTTTGGTGTGATTTTGTTGGAGGTGGTGACAGGGCGGAAACCGGTGGAGGGGGTGGGGGGGAATGAGGTGGTGGTTTTGTGTGAATATGTGAGGGGATTGATTGAAAGGGGGAGAGCTTCGGATTGTTTTGATAGGAGTTTGAATGGGTTTGTGGAGAATGAGTTGATTCAAGTGATGAAATTGGGATTGATGTGTACGTCGGAATCGGCATTGAGGAGACCGAGTATGGCGGAGGTTGTTCAGGTTCTCGAGAGTGTAAGGTCGGAATCGGAGGGATAGGAGTGGAATTAGAATTTTGAAGATGGAATATTTTTAGTTTGTGATTAAGATTATTGATTGTTTGTTGTAATTTGGGTTCAATAAGATTTTATTCATTAATCAATATCAGTTAGATTGGCTTGTGTAGCCATTCCTCTAAAGCTATTTCAAAAAAAAAGAAAAAAAAAAGAGCCAAATTAAGAGAAATCCCACAATGTGGACTGCGTATTTGGAAAATGTGAAATACTCAGAACTGTGTAGTTTTGAGCGATTCTCAGTTCCTTTCTCAGTGACTTGTGAAACGGGTTATATGAATCAACTCGTATAATTCTCAGTTTCCTTCCACTCAAATATGGTTAGTGGCGAAATTTTTACCCGTTTGTGTTTGTTTTCTATCTTGATGTAAGAATCTAGAATCATTTTTTCATATAACCAATTATAACATTGTACGATTAATATATATATATATATATATATATATATATATATATATATATATATATATATATATATATATATATATATATATATATATATATATAGAGAGAGAGAGAGAGAGAGAGGTTTAGGTTCCACATAAAGTTTTAATCCTTTAATATATTTACACATATCAGAGATCATAGTCAATCTTTAACGCAACCAAACCATAATATGCATAAATGTCCTCAACAAAAGTAATGCATGTTGTAACCTTCAGAATTATCTATTTTCAATGATTTCATCCAACACTATCACTGACAACTCATCAATCTCAAATAGTCGAAGATGAATTACCCTACCCTTACCATTTTTTTATACTTGAGTACTTAGTGAAGTCATCATTATGGTGTATCCTCAAAGAAAACATTGCTAGAGGTAACATACATATATTCCAATGTATAATAACCATTTCATTAATGTTTAACATCACTCGATAGTGAAGAAAATAAGTTGAGAAACTTAGCATAAAACTCATTTACATCAATGTGTTCCATCAAACTTTTAAACCTCCATACAACCATCGTCTAGCCAAATACTTTGCTAAAAGATTAGGGTTTTAGGAAGGAAAAAGTAGAAGCTAGCTATTATTAATGAAAACCAAGAGGCTTTGGTTATCTAAACGGATTTTAAGTGGTAATGGAGGACTAATTAGGCAACCCAAATGATTACATTTAAGGAAATAATAAAAATTATCAGGACGCAAGAAAGAAAGAGTGGGAAAATGACGAAAATACCCCCATATTAAGCTTGAAATCGAAAAAACTCCACAATGATGACATGATAAATTAGGACAGATCCACATAAGCATTGATTATCAACACAGCAGAAAAAAAAATCAATTATAGCAATGCACTTTGAAAACTCTTTATTCAAAAGTCAATTTATGTAAAACACTTTTATTTGTTCAAAACTTCACTCGATCCCTATAAAAGAGGATGGGTAGATAGTCGATGCCTTACGGGTGCTCCATTTAAACGATCGATCGTCCTTTAAGCTTCAATGGCGTCTTCTTCACCGCCGGCTTCTCCCTCCGGTAATAGGCAACTTCTTCCGGTTTCCGACGGCCAGTCTTCTCTATCCAACGTCGTCTACGGTAAGCACGCTTGTATACTGATCATTGGTAATTACTTTTGAAATCAACGAATATTCCAAGTCGAATTCGAATTAATTTGCATTGAATTGAAACTCAATTCGTTAGCGAGTTACATGATCATTGTTTTGATTTAGTGTGCATACAGCATTTTTCAGAATATATACAGCGTAATAGCCTGAGAATGTCCTGCCGCTCTTATTGTCTGTACTACGATCAAGCGCGCTAAATTATTTGAACAAATTTAGGTTCAAATACCGTTATAAGTATGTTTTAAGAAAAAAAGGATTGTATAATTTGTGAGTGCGATTTCTGTTGCGATGCCAATGCTATGATTGAATTTGTTGTCTCTAGTTAGATACGTAGAGATATTACAGTGGAGATTCTTAGAGAGTGTTTTGCTGTGCTAGGTTTTTAAGGCATTGGATTATCACTTGGAAAAGCAATTCCTGCAATTGGTGTCGGATCTCCTTGTTTGAAACTGGGATTAAGTTGCAGACAATACAATATTTCAGTCTCAAATTCATTTGTTTTTGATTAATATGGTAGCAACGTAGATCCAGATCTGATCAATGATATCTATCTTTTTCTCCACTCTGGATGCAGTGTTTGCTTGCACACCATTAGAGTCCTGCATACTACATTTAGTAGAACTTACTGTAGTATTTTGCTGCTGATTTTTCTCTAGCCTCCTGCTTTTCTTGAACTCATAACTCAACTGATTGAAATTCAGAATGTGACATGATGTCAATGTGATTGGTGATGCTAGCTAAAGGAAAAAGGTGGGCTGGGGTTAATTAATTAGCATACGCATAACTTGAATTCAGTTATATATTTATCATGAATCAAGGAATTTTAAAGTTTAGCTTCTTCTTTTTCTGTTTTGTTTATTGTGTAACATCCAGTTTGATTCTCTTAATAAAATTAATGGGAATCATCAAAGTTTATCCCCTTCATGATTGTCAATGCCAAATTGATTTAGTTAAACCAATTATCCTGCTATTAAGAAACTGTAGATTCTATTGACTTTCTTGAATCTTGAAGCTCACTAATTTGAATGTTTCTGTTTGAATCTCATCTAATAACTTGGTCATTATTGTGTAACTGCAGAGCTTTCACAGCAAGTACAAGCTGCAATGGAGAATATGCTTAAGATGATTACGTGAGTAAACAAACTTGTAATGGTCTATAATATATTCACTTCACTCAAAGATTGTGAAAAATCTTTTTGCTTAGAATGTTGTTTTTCCATGAAACCTATTTCTTTTGTACTTTTGTACACAGTGAAATTGACGAAAGCTCAAGTGGAATAATAGAAGAAATAGAGAAATGCAAATACTCTGCTCTTGAGAGGAAAAGAAGTTTAGAGGAAGACAAAGAGCGTTTCCAGAAAGCAGCTTTCTCTGTTCTAGACATGCTGAATAACAACAGAGAGAGTAACTAAACATCTAAAAATTAAGGTAACCATTATTAATCTTGTTGTAGTACTATATATTACTTTGAAAAATCACCCTAATTATAACTGTGAAACTCGCTCTGCTTTGAATGTGGATTAGATTTTACAGTGAACATTATTCACTGTATTAAGAAGAAACATCACATCACATAGGTTCTATTCAGAAGTAAATTATCTAATGTTTTGATACTTTTGCAGACTTCTTCATTTTGCCAAGGGGCGTTGGATCATATCACATCTCAATATGATTTTAACAAATGGTATGTACAACTTGTGAAATCTCTTGTTTCACTGAAAAGTGAAAACTATAAACAATTAAACATCAACTCAACCAGGTTTTTGCTTTTGCTTTAATAAATATACTAATACTGCTTAATTCTCTCTTCGGTGCTTTTGCTTTAATAAATATACCATTACATGTGATAACCCGATTGCATTAGATGTAATGTAGTAGTGATAAGAGAGAAAATAGTTAAGTAAAAGTAGTAGTTACATATATTAGTTTGAGGGCTCGTGTCCCTAAGTAGTTGTTATTCTTTCAGCAACCCTTAAGCTGACTCACATTATCATTATCAGCTAGATCTAGCTAGGATGCTTGCATAATTGCTTTAGGGCCCACAAGGAGCCCAATCCATATTAGACTTAAACTCTCATAGTCACATGGTTTGTGACTTGTGAGGCTTTAACCCTTGACCATTTTTGTAATTTTGTCCAAAAAATAGTGCATTTAGATTTTAGGCTATTTGAAAAATATTTAGAATGCAAATTAGACAATTTTGGTTTGATGAAAATAGTCCATTGGGAACATCGGATGAGTGACGTACCTGAAAAAACACACAAATTAGAACAATAAAATAATTCATGATTTCTGGAAAATAATATAAAAAAAACTTATACCACCTGAGTAATGCTTACAAGGAGCACAATTTGCATTGTAGTTAAAAACATTCACACCGCGGTTGCTAAAACCGGAATAAACAACTGTGCTACTAATGCATGTGATGATCCGTTGAAGATGGTTTGTTTAAGGTAACTTGTTGCTATCTTCCTCATATCATATTTTGAATGATTTATTGAGCGCAACGAACACCAAAAAAAAAAAAAAAAATGTATATTCATCATAGGAAATCGTAACATATATATAAGTCTAAGAATTAATGATACTTTCAGATTTCTTAGAATGTTAATGTAAGAAACAAGTTTATCAAACAATTTAAATGAAAGGATTGTTCAAGTAAAAAAACTAAAAAATTAATTTTGATATATTACAGTTTTATGGGAAAAGGTTGAAAACTACATTGGACATGCACAAATCAACGTGGAATTTTTTTTTTTAAACAATTTTATAATACATATCATTTTAATCAAATTAGACTAAGGTATTGTTTGTTATAATGTCTGCAGTCTGCAAGAAAAAAATTATTTATTTATTTTTTAAGTTGTAAGCTATTAAAAAAAACTGAAATTTAAATAAAGTGGAATTTTCAAACTTAAAAGACTTTTTCGATAATTCTAGTTTTTCAATACTAAAATTTAATCCATACATCCACCGTAACAAAGTCTTTTAAAAAAAAATCATACCATATTTTATATTAACTGTTTAGCAATTTATCTCGTGAATGAAGCATATATTCTTGGTCAGTTACACTACCATATGCTTCAACCTCGTCTTCATAATCATCACGCACATATGGTTATTTCGAAGCAACACATCAAGTTGATCTTATTGAGTAAGGAACTCATTGTTCTAACTTTAAACCCTTTTTCCATATAAAATTATTAAACGCAGAACATGCAATAATAATGTTTGTTTGTGTAACCAACATAAATGGAGCCATCATCTTCCATATAATGAATCATGTTTTGAAGACATCGAAAACACGTTCAATGACGTTCTGAAGTTTTGCATGTGTATTGTAAAAAAGTTCTTTATTGATCAATGCATGTCTGCAACGAAAATCTCCAAGACAATACCTCACATTACGATAACGGCATCACAAAGTTAATATTTATATGTAAAGATAATGAAACAATTAATGTTTAAAAAAACCTCAAAATATTAAAAAAAAAAAAACTATAAACATACTTGGTGGTGGAAACAAGAATGATCCATCTGGATTAACTAATGTTTCTGATAATATTTTAAAATCATGTGTAACGTTTTCCCAACTAGCCACAATAAGGGTAAAAATCATATTGAGGCCACAAATTACCAATACATTTTAATAACAATCACATTTTCCCCTTCATTTAGGTAAATTTTGTTTATTAGCGGGTACAATAATATATATCAAAGTTTCATTAAATGCATCAACTGCTTCATTAAAAACATATTGTAGCTCTTATTATTTCCGAAATGTTTTGATTCAGATTAAAAAAAAGTTGGTACTATCATATCTTTTGTCAGTATCATCATTCTATCCAAAACTTCATAACAAAATTGTCCATTATTGTTTCTCACATTCAACGTTATGCACAGTATCAAGCGTAGATTTCAACATTCAAAGTAAACAATTCATAATTTTTTTATGAAGTCTTGGATAGAATGATACTTTTGCAAAAGATATGATAGTATCAACTTCTTTTAATATGAATTCAAACATTTTGAGACGTAATAAGAGGCTACAATGAATTTTTAATGAAGCGGTCGATGCACTTGATGTAACGTTGATACATGTTATGGTTACCTAGAGGAAGGAAAAAAAGTGATTGTTATCGAAATGTATTAGCAATTTATGATGTCAACAAGATTTTTATGTTTACTGCTATTAAGAATAAGTAGACATGATAAATATTTTATTTTTGAGCCGGACGTTAACTTTTTTTTAGATAGACTATTTTAGATAGCTATTATTTTTTCTTGTGATTTTACTTTTTGTAATTTTTAAAATATTTGTAATTTCGTTTCTTATAAGTGTTTGGTCCATAAATATTTAAGTATTCTAATAAAAAATAATAATGCTAAATATCTTATAAGTTTTAACATAATTTTAATAAATTAATAATTATTATAAATTAATAATTATTATAAAAAGTCATTGTATTCTAACTTAATAATATATAATTAAATTATAAAGTATTAACTTTTAGTATTAATTATATGTATAAATCTGATCGGTAACATTTGTTGTATAAAAATACTTGTTATGTACTATAAGTTGTACTAAGATACTCATATACTTTTACGGCCAACACAATTTTTTGTGTATATAATATATTATAAAGCAATATACATAAAAACTAGTATATTTTTGTTCTTTTTACGATTTAATTGCTATATTTTATCTTGGATAATTAAAGCCGCTTGATTTTAAAAGAAAAGTCAATTGCACCCTCTCTAGTTTGGTTTACGGGTTTAGCAATGTTAAAAATTACATGGTTTGTCATTAACCTACATGACATTATATCTACTTCCTAAAATATGATCTAACTTTGTGAAATGACTTCTCATTTACCTACATGGTATGTGTAGAAGCTTCTTAAGCCAACTCCAACCATCCACCATATTACATCATTTTTGTGTTTTAGAGGGCAAGACCGCAAGAATACTCTAACCAACCTTCAAATTTAACATCAATTTTGTGTCAGCTATTTAACACCAAAAATAAAAGTCAAATGTAAAGGCCTCTAAAACCCACAATTTTAAAGGTTGATTAGAATTCAACCGCCATTTTGGTGCTAAACAATCACCATTTTTAGTGTTTATGATTGGAGAAGCTCTTAAAAAACAATATGCTATTTTATAGAGTATATATGATGCAATGTATATAAATGAAAAAGGCATGTTAATTTTAACACCTATTAAACTATAAATAATGGGTCATAGACTAGTAGTGGTCACACCACATTCAAAATTTCTTTAAAAATGGAGGGCTTTCATTGACCAAAATAAAATATAATAATTAAAACGGTTAAAATAGACAAAACATAATGGCTTTTATGAATAATTATATTTTATAAAAATATGAATGACTGCTTTTATTACATAAATAAATGAACATTATAAACATCCAAACCCATGAACAAAAACATTTCAAAATGAATATGAACCTTCAAAATATTTAAAAAAAAATTCCAAAAAATAACCAATCTATAATACAATTTGAGGGTGGGAGATCCTTCACAAGTTTCTGTACCAATGGCTTTCCTTTCTTTCCTTCATGTGATCAATTCGAACTCACAACACTCTTGATTCTTTCCATAACCAATGGAATCTCTTTTTCTTCCAAATTTGTAAAACAAAACCTAAACCACCCTGGTTCTACACAATGACAAGATGATCCAGGGGTAGAATTGACTTTTCCCACAGTCAACAACTTTTCCCACAATTCAAGCTCACCTTTTTCACTATAAGGCCGTATAAAACCACTCAAATCCGCCCAACAATAAAACCCTCCACCACTTTTCATACACTCAATTCCCAAACTCTTCAAACCAACCACAAAAAGATCACTCATTTTCTCAACTCTTTCTCTATTAATCTTTATAAACCCCTCAACAAATCTTGAATCATTAAGCATTGAAACAAGCATTCTTTGGTTCAAAGATGACACAGATGAAAATCTCACCAATTTCTTCGATGCCTCCAACACGTTTTTATCAAACGAATAAACAACCCCGACTCGTAAACCAGGGGCAGAAAGGTCTTTTGACAACCCGTAAACAATATGAACTCTGTTTCTATCATACTCTTCAGAATTCACAATTTCAGCCATGCTGACAAATTCTTGATTCTTGTCACCATTTGAGCCTGAAAGTGCCTCGTTGGAGATGATGTGGATGTTTTTTTCAGTTGCAAAGTTTAAAAGATTGTAAAGGGTATCTCTGGTATGAAAAATGCCAGCTGGATTTGAAGGATTTGAAATTATGACACCTTGGATTTTGATACCACGTTTTTTTGCTTGGTTGTATGCTCGATGAAGGGCAGTTGTATGTAAACTAAAATTGTCTGAACTACGACATGGCACAGGTATAATTTCAACCCCGGTTCTCCATTTTATGTCCCTATCAAGGCTGCAATTTTTTTTTATAAATTCATTACACATTTTGTATAAATATATATAGCTTTATTATAAAGCATACTTCTTGAAACTTAGATGAGTTCATATGACATTATGAAGTTCAAAAGTTGTATGTTTGACCTCAAAAGTCAACATGTGTGACATTCTTGAAACAATGTACACAAATCAAGATTTATGGAAGAGGGACTTACTCTGGGAAATATGGAGAGGGGACAAGAAATGCATTTCCAGGGTCAGCAAGGCAAAAAGCAAGCATCTCAAGAGCAGGTGTTGTTCCAGCTGTTAAAACTATCTGTGATGGGTTGAATGACACGTGTCCTTCCATAACTTGAGACATGAATCTTGCAACTGCCTGTTACAAAAAAAGATGAACAAATGAAGCATTTAATTCCATGATTGTAGATTACATAAATTGGCATGTGAAACGATAACACCTTGCTTCAAGATGGGATTAATATAAAATTAAGTGGCACAATGACCAAAATCAAATCTAATTATAGTAAGAAATAGAAAGAATTTACATGGAAATTACCAGTTTGAGTTCTGATGATCCATGGAAAGGATGATAAGTACTGATTTGGTCCATTTGTAACTCTTGACCAATGATCGAACACTTGGTATGCGTCACTAGCCAGTCTTGAATCAAATCCAGGGATAACTATAAACTCATAAACCCAATGTGAACTTGATTATTAAAGCAGCGAATACATCAAAATGAACCAATCATTGTCTACTTAATCACAATATTTCAGATTAATTATCATTACGAATGCACAATTTAACTCATATTAGCAATAATTGTATAAGATTACGAGAAGCTTACCTTGTTTTCATCCAATCCGAGTTGAATAATCCCCTCTGGATTACTCGACTCATCATACAGATTATCAGAAGCCCTCTTTAATCCAACATAGTACGGAGAATCAGGATGTTTGATGACAGAATTGGCCCTCGTAGAAACCTGAACTTGACCGTTTGTACCACGTGGGGACCAAATCGACCTTACTGAATGAACCCTTTGCAGGCCACCAGGAGGAGGAGGAGGAGGAGTCTCGGGCAGTTGCGGCGGTGGTGAGGGGTTGGGGTCGTCGTCGGAAGGATTTTTGGCCTTTAGATAGAGTTGTAAGAAGTAGAAGAGAGCGCAGGGGATGATTGAGCCTAGAACCAAGCCACCTCCGCCTTGAACTACACCTTGTAAGGGTACTATGACCCTCATGTCCGTCGTAACTCCGGTGGCGCCAGTTGTCGTTTCGTGTAGATTATCGACGGAATTTCGGGATTTTTGTTTCATCGTCCGAGCATGGTTGTGGACGGAGTGTACAAAGGGATTACCGGAGAATGGCAAGGAGTTGGCCAGCCAATTGGGTGGCGTTCTCTCTCTCTCTCTCTCTCTCTCTTGTTTATATATGTGTGTGTGTGTGTGAATTTCGATGAATTTGGCGACTAGGGGGGAAATGAAAAATCAAATAAAAAACTTGTTTTTTTTATAGTATGAATAAAATATTTTATTTTAAAATATAGTGATAATCTCACAAAACCATTATATTTTGGGATTTTTACTCAAAAGTCATTATCTAATAATCGTTTTTCGGAAAAATCATTTATGTTATCAAAAGTTATTGATTTAGATTGTTTTTAAAAAAAAATAACATTATATTATATAGGTACGAAAAATGGGTTTCTCACCGTTATATTGCTTTAGTCAAATATAGCTTATAAATTGGTTTTTTAAAATATTTCTTATAATTTGAGTAATCAATAGATTATTTTCCTAAACTTTATTTTATTATAGGTTACATACAAATTAGAGGCATGCTATCTCTGCTAAGGCCCCGTTTGATAGTTGCTGACTGAGAAAGTACTGACTGGGAAAGGTCTGTATCGGTAAGAAATCCTGACTGAGTAAGAAATCTTGTTGTTTAATTGTATATCTGACTGAATGTGTTGAGTGATGAAAAATGACCATTTTACCCTGCTGTTATATATAGTGATGGATTAAGTTGCTGAATAATTATAAAAACATACATATTGTCATACAAAATGTAAATTACACACAAATAAAAATGTCATACAAAATGTAAATTAAACATAAATCATTTAATATCCAAATAAAAACATAATGAAATTTAAAATAACATAATAATTTAATGTAAAGTAGGTGAAAGTAGTCGATTTACAATCTGATCACGCAAAACACGCATATATTCAACGGCTTCTGGACCCCATTCTATCTCTTGTATGTTTTATCTATCAATTCCCCCACCTTGGACGTCAGGAGTAACCATAGTGTCCTCCTCAAGTATTTCAAAGACAAGATCTTTTTTCTTTTAATTTACCAAAAAACACAAAAACAAGGCAAATAATATGTATATCCTGGTAAATAAAAGCTCCATCAAACAGCAATGCCACTACCTTGTAGTGGCAGCAATAAACAACGCCCAGCAGAAAGAAAAAAAAAGGATGTAATATTCAAGCAAATAACACTTCAAAATTCAAAAAAAAAAAAAAAATCGTCCATGTATATATACTATTGATTACCTACTGAAATAAGTGGTTTGTAATCTATTATAGATATGGAATCGTCTATGAAATCAATTAATTTGTAAACAAATCTACACCCACTTAAATCAATGAAATTGATTAAAAATAATGGTGTATATGGAACATATCTACCGAATCGATGCTTTATACATTGCATAAAAGATAAGATTTTTTATTCAATTTCACCGGTCGATCGATCCCAAACCCAAAATCAGCGTTCCCAAACCCCAAATCGGATTTTGAATTTATAGATTATACATAAAAGGAGAATATTCTTACCTGTTTTTGATGAATTGTAGCGGTTGAATGACAAGAAATCGAAAAACTAATCGGAGATGGCGAGCTCTTGTTGGCCGGCGAGATGGTGGTTACACGGTGGCGAGATGGCAGCGACTTGCAAGATGGCGAGCTGGGGGAGCAGCGTCGCTGCGAGATGGAAACGAGCTGGAGTCTGTCGGCGCTTTTTTTTTAGGTCACGAGAATGGAACGATGGAAGAAAGAATTCAAGGGCAGGATTGTCTTTATTCCCAGTTAGCATATGTTACAAAGCTGACCGGGTAAGACTATTGAGCCATATATCTTTCCGAAAAAGCACACCATCAAACATCTAAGGTCTGACCGAGTCAGCCCAATTTGCTGACTCAAACCCAGTCAGATGGGTATCAAATGGACCCTAAGTTTATTTTAGTGTATAACTTGTTAAAAAATGGTGTATAAACCATTAAAAGATTAAGAACTGTGATAATTGTTTTGTTTCTTTTTAGCTTTTTCAACGTTAATACCTTTATAAAATAAAAAATAATAATAATAAATTCAATTGTAACAAATTGTGAATGGCTATTTAATATATTTTTGATATCACACACATATCAATTACGGCATACAAAATACAATGATGGAGTCGCGGTATATAATATAATATATAGTTCTAGACCCTTTTTTATATTTGCGTATTAGTGTAAAATCCAAGTAATTTTATTGCGAGAAAGTTAAAATAATAGTCGCAGTAATTAACAAATATAAGATTATTACGTTTTCATGACTTATTTAAATTGAATATAACCCTCTAATAAATACCTTATATTTTCACCACCGTATTATAAAATAATCAATAATAGTTGCAACGAGTGCCACTATCTTCTCAATTTGTTATTCTATTCATCTTTTGGTATTACATTTGATATTTTATAGAGTTTAGTTATATTAAATTTGGGATGAAAATAATATAACTCATAATTGGATATTAGCTGAATTCAATAAATTAGCAGATTGTAATATATTAACTGAATTCAATAGGTAAATGATTGATTGGTTAGGATTTTGGGTTGGCTCATCCTCACCAAGCACTACCAATCACAAATTATTCTAAGTTCCACAGAATCCAAGCAACCTACATACAACCTTCCAAACATGCATGGGTCCTCTCTAATATTTTGGAATCTTTCTTGATTTTATGTATATTTATTAAATTATTAACCATTGCAAATCAACCAAGGTGATTTACACATTTAGCATCTTTAATGGCAAAGTTATGTTATAACTTAAAATTATTGATAATGTATTACTTAACTAATTTTGAGCTCTAATTAAATTACAACTCCAGTGGTTAACCTATATAACAGCTTATTTTACAAGTTTAACTAATTGATCCTCGTCTATATAAAATGTTTCATCAAGCTCTTTCATTTAATTAATTGTATATTAATACATCATATTTTAATAAATGTGATTTCTAATAAACTTTAATATGGTTTCTAATATAAAAACATTCGTAACATTTAATAGAAATAAATATATATTAAAGAAATAAATTTTATTTAAAGTAAAAATAAAACTAAGGGGTAAAATAAAATATTATTAAAAGATGGTTTAGATGGACAACTTTTTATAGTATATTGATGATTCATTATATATTGAATGGTCAATAAAAGAACAAAAAAGTTATCATCTCCGATGGTATTTAAAGATATTGAGTGGTCAAACAAATAGTAAAAAACTATAAAAAAGAAACTTGTATTTGAGAAGCTCTAAGGTTACTAGTGTTTATTAAGAATGATAAGTAAATATAAGACGATAATATCAATCAAAATCAGCAATAGTAACAATAACAATAACAACCACAACAAATTTGAAAGAGAAATTAAATATTCTCTTACTTTTTGTTCCTACAAATCATCATACCCAATTAAATAGTGAGATGTGTAATATTTAATGTTTATTTAATGATATTTTATTATACTAATGTGACACTTGTTATCATTTAAATTGATAGGAGGATTGACATGAACAAAAAATAGGAGGATTTTTAATTTCTCAATCTGAAAATATGATTACAATACTTATTGTTGGTATTTGTTGAGATAGCTGCTACTTGAAGAAAGAATGAGAAGTGGCATACAAACATAATCAATTATACGTAATCTTTTTTAAGAACAAATCTAATTTACTCATGAATCCATCTTATGCCCCGTAAAGAATTTGATTTGAACACTCGGTCTCAAATCTTCAAAATAAAAAAACAATATCTAATACCGTTAGACTCAAAACATTTTGATACTTATACGTAATATATTATAATTCAATTGCTAAATTGTCAGAATTTATTTTACTACACATTTAAAATGTCTCTTTACAATATTATAAGAATAATTGAGATTCTTGATTCTTGAAAGTTGTCAAATAGTGACAAATGGATGTTTTACCCTTTCAATGTCAACCACATGCAATCAAAAGGACATCCCCACGTCATCAAACTCTAATGTTTTTTGGAGCTCACACTTGTTATCCTATCTTAACATACAATCATTAAACTGCATCATTATCCTATATTTACATACAATCACTAAATTACATCATTATATATAAATATTCGGAAAAATAACCAAAATAACACCAATTTATACTATAGATTTTGTATTGTGGACTGTGGGTTCCGGGTTTTAGACAAAAAAAAAAAAAAAAAAATGGTATTACATAAAAACCATTTGGGAAGACCAATCGTGGGCACTTATTCACAAGAAAATTGGTGATGCCCTTTTCGTTCAAATGATTCAAGCTCCCAAACTTATGCTCGTGGACAAAAAAATCATCCGTTTCTGGATGCGATTGTAGTATCAGGCTAATTTTCAGTTTCTACTGTAATAAAAAGCATTATTGTGGTTGTCCATATTTTCCAAACAAAGAGCAATATTGTAGATATCTTAAGCCGTATGATGAAGACCTATCTCACAATCGGTACAAAGAGAGTTTTAACGAAATACGAAAGCAGTTGACCAAGACAATTGAGCAGCATCTTACTGAATCATTGTGTAAACACCAATAGAAGAAAATAACAATAGTTTGGTAAATCTGTATAGTAGAAAAGATGTAAAACTATTAAATAAATGATAAAAATAATTTAAAAAAAAAACTATTTGTAACTATAGAAAACTTGTTTTTTTTCTCTATCAATGTTAAACAAACTCTTTTATATTCTGAAAAGGCTGTAAAAAACTTTTAAATTTCACCATCCGAGGTGTAGTAAATTCTGTTGAGCAAATTTGAACTATTTTAATACTATGTTTGACTAAAATTCGAAAAAGGAATTGATTATTTTTAGCTATATTTGTGTGGTTACTTTTAACTAATTTATAATTACAATAATAGAAGTTGTGAATATAATATGCACAGGTTATCTAACAATAAATGTAATCTAACGTTAAGCATACACGTACTTAAACCTAATTCCAAAAATGTCTAATTCAAGAAAGTGGTCCTCTCCTCGCTACCATGTAGATTAACATTCAACTATCTAGTACTCTTAAACTAAAAGTTGATGGTCATGGTATGAGTACAATGTATGGCGCATGAATTACAAGTAAACAA